CAACATCAACAACATCGACAACATCAACCACAACAACTTCAACAACCTCAACAACTACTACCACCACCGGTACGCCTTGTGCTTGTAATTATTGTGGTTATTATGGTTATTACTATCTTGGTAGTATTTATTATGGTTGTTCTATAACTACTTATGGTAGTACTCGATGTTATTATAATGGTCTTCCCTCTTCTTATACTAGTTATTGTGCTCTTGGTCTTTGTGGCCATACTTATAGTAGTACCTATGGTTATTATTATTGTACTTGAAGCTAACTATTTTTGTATTGAATTAAGATCAGCGAAAGTGTTGTGTGTGAGCTAATAGATTTCGCGTTTTGTGTTTTTTTTTACTTTTAACTAGTTCCCTCACAGTCTCTTGAATAGCATGGACGATCGTCATACTTGTTGTATTGTGAATTTGTGACAACTTTAATTATATTATATAAAATTCATAACACAAATAACGAAGTTTTTTTTTCACTCGAACTAATGTTTATTTCTCTTCGAAGCTTATTGGAGTCATAGATCAGGCAGGCGGCACACAGCCGTTCCTGATAAAATATCATTATGTAGGTTATATATATTTGATTGTTTATTGTGTTCCGTCTCAATTGATACCAATTGCCTACGGAAAAGATTTGGCAAATAAATCGCGAGTACTCTGGGGTTTTTCAGAAACCTCATTGATCGTTTAAGTTATTTGATATGAAAAATAGCTAGTAAATGCGTATATTGATGATAAACAAAAATCAAATAAAGAATCTGAGTCTCGTAATTTCTCAACACCACTGAATTTGTTGGCGTGATTTTATTCAGTGATAATAGAATTGTGAATTCTTAATATTGCTTGAGTCATATTCGATGATTCTGTATGTCAGAACGAGGCGATAAATGCGAGTTGTTAGATGGTAGTTCGTGCAGTTCGGTTTACTTCCCTCTCAAGGGAAAAAAAGCAGATTTCTATACTTCTCCAAACTTCTGTGTACTTCTTGGTGTACCAAGAGAAGTGACTGACATCTTTTTGAATGATATCTTTTTCGCATATTTCACTAATACCTGATCTTTTAATCCCCTAGTTTCTGTTTGTTGTTGCTTTCCTCTCGATATATTTTCTCTTCCTTCTTTTTTCTTTTTATCTTTCTCTCATATATTCGGAGAATAGTCAGTAGATAGTTGTGTCGAGTTAGATTAAAGGTGTGAATGTGGGTGGATATAGCAGACACAACACCCACACCCACACCCTCAAGATGAAATGATAACAAAAATATATATTCTCATTCGGTTTTTAACGTAGATAATATCTAAGATGTTTCTAATAAAATATCTCTTATATAAGTTGAATAGATATATAAGTGATAAATGAACAAATCAGCAAAAGAAAAGAAATGTTGAATGTGATGTGTGATGTATTCGAATCGTTTTATCGATAACGGTTGCTAATAATATAAATAAAGTATTAAAATTCATATTTATCGTATTATAAGATCACCCAGGTCAAATTTCTCTCTTCTGCTTCATTGTCCTTGATAGTTTATTGGATGTTCAATCTTTTTTACACTTAAAAATTATGTTCAGGTATTACTAAATTCATAATAAGATAATTAGTCATTAATAACAAAAGTTTATAGATTATTTTTGATTAATAGATTTTCTCATATCAATTAGGATAAAATAAAATGAAAATTTATTATTATATATTCATATATTGTTTCAAATGTATAAAAGAAAAGATCGAAGACAAAGAATTCTTTTCTTTCGTCAATATGAAATTGTATCATTGACTATAGACTTTATGTGAAGGTCTTTTTAATTGATAAGCAAAAAAAAATAATCAAATGAAAAGGTTTTATTTCGCGAATAGACGTTTTTTTGTTGTAAATATTAATGTAGAAAATACGAAAAAAGCAATTAAAACAATGAAACACAAACCTAAAAATATATACCTCAATTTTTTTTAGTTCTAGTGCAGATTTAACATGCTCAATAGACGAATACAATCAATCGTTTATAGATAGTACTTGATAGGGGTGTTACTTTATCTTTACTTTATAAAATAAAGATAAAGTGAATCTTTATCTTTATTTTATACAGAATAAAGATAATCTTTATTTTAAAAATAAAGATAAAGAAATAAAGTAAATCTTTATATTTATAAAATAAAGATAAAGTTAATCTTTACTTTATAAAATAAACATAAAGAAAAAGTTACTTTATTTTAAAAAATAAAGTTAAAATAAAGAATAAAGAAAACTTTTCCCATAAATCTCTTATGCCCCACGTTCATTTGCTAGCATTACTCCTTCTTAAAATGTGGCTGGTGGTCAGAAAAAACTGCGATCAATATTACCTCTTTATATATCAATTATTTGTCTAATTACTAATCATTTGAAAATATTTTCTTTATTCTTTATTTTAACTTTATTTTTTAAAATAAAGATCTACTTTATCTTCATTTTATAAAGAATAAAGTTAATCTTTATTTTAAAAATAAAGTAAAGAAATAAAGTAAATCTTTATTCTTTATAAAATAAAGATAAAGATTTTTGTTACTTTATTCTTTATTATAAAGTAAAATAAAAATAAAGTAACACCCCTAGTACTTGATCCATTCGTTATATATAGTAAAATGATTAGTATACAAGAGGTTTAGAAATATTCATAATTTAGTTAGAAGAGGTAATATCTTGGAATATAGTATTACATCGAGTCGCTATTTAATAACATCTAATTTTGTTAGAATATGTTTACTTTTTAAAATTCCTATTTGTATAGAGGTGTTCAAGTCAAAATCGATTTATTTATAATTATCAAGATTTCGCTTGTTACTATATCAAGAACATATATTCAACAAAATTAGAACAGTTAAAATTGTTAGGAATTCTGAATTTAATCGACAGAGCGAAATAACCTCGTCTTCACTTGCCTTCCAACTGTGACACACAACTCGTTCGTCTCTAATAAACAATGAATTTTTCAATCGAATACACAACCTATTACACTTTTTTTTCTATTCTCTAGGTCAAACTTTTGATTAAAATAATGAATTTGTTTATTCAAAATATGAAATTTACATTATATGTCCGAATCCGTTGAAGTGGGCTCATCATTGATTATTTTTATTATATGAAACATATATATATATTTGCTTTATTCAATTTAGATCGAAATCAGCTACCAATTCACTGACACTATTCATAATGGCGAATCCACGATACTCCGATCGGTCATCGGCTCCAGCATGGACCACACATGAAAGTCATGCATCAATCGAACGCATTGCTTGGACAGATGATGACGATAATGCTGGGTAAGTACAATATCGATTTCAAGATGTTTATATATCTTATATTTTGATCACAGAATTAACCAAAAGAAGACATTTTTTGCGTGGTATTGGTGTTTCAAATGCTGTATTATTGGATCATTACTAGCTGGAATAGGTTTAGCTGTTGTACTCACATTCTGGTTGACATCGAAAACAACAGCAACAGAAACATTAAGTATGTAGCAATTAGAATGATTGTTTTCATGTTGATTATTTTCTCTTTTTGTTTATCAAATGGAATAAAAAGATAATTGAGTAGAGTTTTTGGTTGAATAATCATCTATCGTGAGATACAAATGATAACTATTGACTTATTTAATTCACTAAAAGATCACCAGTAATTAGACAAAAAAACTATTATAAGTTAATTTTCAATTTAAAATGTTACATATATCATTCTCCTATTGCCATTTTGAATAGTAGTTTCTCGAAAGAATAGATGATCGATAATCTTGTTTTTGTTGCTAAATCACATAAGAAAATGTTTATTTAGGTTTTATACAAAAATACAGTTAGTTCTATTCAAAACTTTGAATTTTGTAATTGATTATTGCATGCATTTTTAGTCTCGACAACATCCACACCGACATCAACAACATCAACATCGACAACATCGACAACGTCAACAATATCAACCTCAACAGCTACTACCACCACCGGTACGCCTTGTGCTTGTAATTATTGTGGTTATTATGGTTATTACTATCTTAGTGGTATTTATTATGGTTGTACTATAACTACTTATAGTAATAGTACTTCTTGTTATTATAATGGTATTCCCTATTCTTATACTGGTTATTGTGCTCTTGGTCTTTGTGGTCATATTTATAATAGTGCCTATGGTTATTATTATTGTACTTGAAGCTAACTATTTTTGTACTGAATTAAGATCAGCGAAAGTATTGTGTGTGAGCTAACAGATTTCGCGTTTTGTGTTTTTTTTTACTTTTAACTAGTTCCCTTACAGTCTCTTCAATAGTATGACCGATCTTCATACTTGTTGTATTGTGAATTTGTGACAACTTTAATTATATTATATAAAATTCATAACACAAATAACGAAGTTTTTTTTTCACTCGAACTAATGTTTATTTCTCTTCTAAGCTTGTCGGAGTCATCGATTACGAAGGCGGCACACAGACGCTCCTTATAAAGTTTCATTATCATTGGTACCAATTGCTTACGGGAAAAATTTCATGAATGAATCGCGATTATCTCGGATTCTTCAGAAACCTCGTTGATTGTTTAAGTTATTCGATTTGAAAAGCGCCAGTAAATGCGTATGTGGGTGATAAACAAAAATCGAATAAAGAATCTGAGTCTCGTAATGTCTCAACACCACTGAATTTGTTGGCGTGATTTTATTCAGTGATAATAGAATTGTGAATTCTTAATATCGCTTGAGTAATATTCGATGAATCTGTATGTCAGAACGAGGCGATAAATGCGAGTTGTCAGATGGTAGTTCGTGCAGCTCGGTTTACTTTCCTCCCAAAAGAAAAAAGCATACGTCTTGGTGTATCAAGAGAAGTGACAGACATCTTTTTGAATGATACCTTCTTTTGCCTATTTCATTAATACCTGATCTTTTTCTTCCCTGCTTCGTGTTCGTTGTTGCGTTCCTTTTGATATATTTCTCTCTCCCTCTCCTTCTTTTTTCTTTTTATCTTTCTCTCATATATTCGAAGAATAGTCAGTAGATAGATGTGTCGAGTTAAAGCAAGGGTGCGGATGTGGGTCGTTATAGGACAAATAATATCCACATCCAAATGTATATCAATGTATTAATTCATCTAAATGTATTTCAGTTCATCGTCTTATGGATCATGTAGATAATTGTCCTTACAATGATGATGAAAATATATCTGACTCTTATATTTCAATCATTACCAGATTCTTGGCAAAATATCATTTATAATATTAATTTTATTAATTGATGATAATAATCAATAAATTATTCATTTATTCACTCTCATCTTGAAATTGAAAAGTCTTGATTGATGAGGAATATTTTTTGTCTCACACGTATATCAAAATGATTTAGTTTTGATATTAAAAAGTTTATTTAGTAAACTTTTTTCATTTTTCATAAATTTTACATGGAGTATTCTTATTATGAACACTTTTGCTTATTGTTTTTATTGAAAACAAATTCAATTAATTGTAAGCTATCGCTAATTATTTGAATAGTTTTTAGATAATTAGCTAATTTTTGCACTATTATATACAGTGAACATTTCTGTACTCAAATATGCAATAAAAAAAAATTTTGTTATGAAAAATGATATTATAAGAAAGGAATTATAAATACCGTAACATTACTGGTCAAACAACTTAAAATGTGTTTGAAACTGTGATTTTCACGATAATAATAAATATTCTAAATGAGAGGCTAAAATTCTTTTGAAAGACTAGTTAAAAGATGAAACTTGGTATAAATAATTATAGCGATTATTTTGAGTATTTTATACAACAAAATAAAAAAATGGCTGTTTTTATATTTTAGTCAATATTACGAAAAGTGTTGGTCCACTATTTTTGCATATCAAAATAGTACCAATAAAGCAGCGTAGATATATAAACAAAATAAGTAATTAGTGAAATCGTTATATTAAAAAAAAAAGCTAACTGTTAAAATATTCTAATACAACAGAACAAAAAACAACTGTTATTCTTTTGCTAAAAATAATAAATGTATATTATAATTATGCTTAGAATGACATGACTACAATTATTTTTATACTAATGATTATATTTGTCCGTCGGTCTTTTCGTGAAAATAGCCGTGAGTAATAATAAGCGCACATTCTCCATACAAATACAAACATTATTTTAACAAGTAAAAACAAAAACATATCAAAAGACTGAATATAATTTTTTTCATACTATCAAAATAGTTCACAAATATAAGACGTAAGATTAAGTTTTGTAACAATGGAAAATTCTGGTTTTGTACGCGAAGAATCGTTTGTATCAATAAACGATAATCAACGTGATGTTATTCAAGCTCATATCAACATGATTAATGCAACTGCTGATGTGATCGTACCATTAACTAATTGGCGTTCCAAATTCATAAAACTTTGGAATAATTATCAATGGCGTATGCGGTACTATTTTTACATTCACCTTAGTATTTTTTTTCTTAATACACTTTTATGTGGTATGATCGTATGGAATATTGAAAAACATAATATACCTTTTATTGACTGTTGGTTTATCAGTGCAACATGTGTATTTACTTGTGGATTACAAACATATGCATTTTCTTCATTTAGTTTATCATCACAAATTGTATTACTTATATTTACATTGATTTCTGGTAATTGTATTGAATGAAAGGAATGGTCGAAAAATCATTAAGTTTAATGCACGCTAGAAATGTCATAATACGGAAGTCCTTGTCACCTAGATTACGAATCTGATATCCGTTTGTCTAAATCTGATCCCTTTTGTATCGATTTTTCCCGTAGGGGGGGGGGGGGTATCCGGGTCTCAGTAGAGTAGTTTCATGAGGTTTCAAACACAAATACACAAAGTATTCAGAAACTTCCTGATACAAAAATGATCAGCGAAAAAAGCTCTACAAAGTTTGAGCGAAAAGAAAATTTTTCTGAGAAAATTTTGTGAATACTTCGTATATTTTATGTTTTACATCTCATGGAACTACCCAGTATCAGACTCAGGTATACTCCCTCCATGGGGAATCGCTGAAAAAAAAGGATCAGATCTAGACAAACGGATATCAGATTCGTGATCTAGGTGACAAGGACTTCCGTATTATGACATTTCTAGCGTGCATTAAAACTAATGATTTTCGATCACCCCCTTTCTTAAAAATTATTTTCATTCAGGTATTACTGTCAGTACAATTCCGGCTATTTTTATTAAAATTTATTTAGTTAAAAAAAAAACAAAAAACCATTGAACAAGTACTATCATCATTGGAAATAGAGGATAATTCATTACATCTTCGACATATTATTCGTCAAAATTTAAATAATAATCATTTAAATAAATATATTCAATCATTACCTAATCCGCATGATCTTCATATCAAAGCTTATATTATCTTAATTGTAGTTATTCTTTCGGCTTGTATTACTATTTATCTTTCTTCATTTCTTGCAATTGGTTTTTATTTAAAATATAATTATGATCCACAAGATTTGTTACAAGCAAATACAACAGTTGATCCATTTTATGCTTCGTTAGTTATTACACTTACTGGTTTTAATCAAAATGGACTTTCTGTTTGGTAAATATAGTAGAAGAATATATGTTTTAAAATGAAACAAAATTTTCTAGGTCAAATGGTGTTACTCTATTTGTCGATGATGTTTTTATGAATATCATAATCATGATTATTGTTATGTCAGGAACATCTCTATTTCCAGCTATTCTTCGTGGAATTGTTGATCTACTTAAATATCTCGTACCGTAAATATTAATTTATTCTGTATCTAATAATACTTTCATTAATTATGTTTCTGTCTCTACTTTTAGATGGCGATATAAAATTTTTTTTGATTATATTTTACTAAACAATCATCGTTTGTCAACTGTTATTTATCCATCGATTCAAACACGATTATATGTGACTATTACGATTTTATTACAAATATGTAAGTAGATATATATGACAAAATATAATTTTTCTCATAATTAAATTCTAGTGGGAGTTACTGTAGCATTGATACTTGATTTAAATAATACAAATTTATCTATGTATGAAAACGGTCAACGATTTATGATATTTATGTTTCAAACAGTTAATACTCGTTTTGGAGGTATTTTTATAATCATTTGAATTTCAAATCTCATACAAAAAAATATTATCGTATATCTTTTACAGGTTATGCAACAATTAATATTAGTGAACTTAGTGCAGCAACTTTGCTTGTCTTTGTTCTGTTAATGAGTATCAAACCTCAGATGGTATATTTATTGTTTAGATTTTATTATGAATATTTGACTTTTACATTAGTTTTTTTTTATAGTTATGTGCAATAAATGAAACACCATTTGAAATGGAATGGGTTCTACTACAAACGCAACAAATACTTGAAAATAATATTTTGGATAATAGTCGACGTTCTAGCGGAGAAATATTCTTGCCATTTCATCGAATGAAACATTATCTCTTGCGACAAGGTTCAATAACAAAAGCACAAGCTAAAACTTATTATGCAACAATGATGCGAACAAATCAAGCCGAAGCTGCTATTGATGAATACAATGGAAAGCGTTATCAACAACGTTTCAATACTTCATCTATTAACAAAAATAATTCAATGAGAGAAATTGATGATAATAGTACTAATCACAATCATATTTCTCTTCTTCGCATGAGACTTCATTTGATTATTTTTTGTCGACACTTCATACTTAGTTTATTCAGCCTTATTACATCGACTCGAACGTGGTTATTTATCGCTGTTTTTCTTATTTGTGCTTTTGAATCATCTAAAGTAATACCTAGTAATCCAAGTATCACAGTATTTCGTATAATATTTGAAGTTATAAGTGCTTTTGGTGGTTGTGGTCTTTCAATGGGTTTTTCCAGTTTATCACCAAGTCTTGCTGCTGTACTTACTATACCAAGTAAAATAGTACTTATATTGGTAATGTGTATGGGTAGACATCGAGGTTTACTCGATTCGATGAAAGATCAAGAAGAAATTGAATGTAATGCTGAAACATTAATTCATAGTTGGCACCAACTTGCCATTTATAAATATGATCAGGAAAATAGAATGAATATGGATAAACAAATATCAACGGTATCAATTACAGTTACTGCACCCACACCACCATTATCTACTCGATTTTAATATTAGTCTTGTTAGTTCTATATAGATTGTAGTTAATAAATATCTAAATATTTTCTTAATCAATAAAATTCAAAAAAAATTGTTCATCACTTTTACATAATTCTTTATTAATAGTACAGTTTCAATTGTTATTGTTATTAACAATTCAATATTGGATTTTATTCATCGAGTAAAATCATTTTTTTTTCTAATTCATTTCAGAAAATTTGTTATTTGATATAAATGACAAAAAAAATCATAAACAAAGAAAATATTAACTGAAAAGATCTATTGGATTGTAATTATGCATAATTTTCTCAAGTTTATTTAGTATCGATCAAAGCTGGTTTCACTTGAGGGTGGGTGTGGGTGAGATTTTGGATGTTGCTCGTTATGTCACACTCATCCTCAAGATTTTTTCTTTATTAACTATAATAAAAATTTTACCGTGCTAATGAAATCTTGAATAAGTATTCTTTCGATGTTTTCAAACCATACCGTTCGTTTGTTATAGGTCTATCATACTTGAAAATTATGTTAAATAAAAATAAAGATAAAAAGATTTTTATGTCTCTCAATTAATATAAGGGTGTCATTTAAGTGATCAGTAGAATAAATGAAACGGTCAGTAATTAATTTGATAGGCCCATAATAAAATTTAAACGATCAGTAAATAAAATGAAACGGAAAGTAAAAAACTATAAACTTGTGTAAAGATGGTCTACTTTTCTTTTTTTTTTACTGACAAAAATCATATTTTTTCACTGCTACTTCCACAAAATCTACTAACCACTTTTGAATTGTTTACTGATTTTTTTTGAAAACTGACCAATTAATATATTTACTGTGATATTTCAATAATTTTACTGACCGCAAAACATATTCCCTTAATATAATCATCTGAATTAATTGATAATTTTTAATTTTTTTTAATATTATATGAATTTGTCTAGTTATTAGAATATATTTTGTCTTTAGAACTCATAATTAAACAGAATTTTAGTAGCTTGTTTTTTTTATGAATATTATAAGTAGAATTACCTCTAATACAACAATGATAAAAATATATATCTCCGATACAGTACAAACAGTTTTTTGTGCACAATAGTATACATCGAAAGATATGCTTGATTAAACAGAAAAAAAACTCGTGATCAATATATATAATATATTCTTCATTCTATTACCCATTGGTGAAACACACAATATATTTATTATCAATACAAAGTGTATTCTTTGTCTCTCAAAAAAAAATAATCCAAAAGATTCGATATTATATTTGATTACTATACATGAATTATCATATTCAATATTTATAATTAAAGTCTGTATAGTTTTTATTTCTATCGAAGTTTAATTTGATAGTTTACAAGTCTTTCAGTTTTTTAACTTATGTAAAAAAATGTCGTTTAGAAGTAAATATATACTATGCTTGTATTTTCATATTGAAATATTACTACGAATTTTGTTATTAATGAAAATTTCGAAATATTGTTATTGGGTGAGGCAATTCATTAATCAAACGTGATATTTTTTATTTGATCTTTCATGACAAATCGTATAGAAATAAGAATGAATATTTAATCTATTATATACCTTGCACAATAAATATAACGTCATTTTATGCATGTATATTCGTTACGTATATTCATATGACGAAAGTTTTGTTTTTATTTCTTAGTTAGTATATGAGAAAAACAAAGCGTTTTATCGCTGAAGGTCTTAGCAAGGTACCCGACATGGGTACTCCGAAAATTATCAGTAATTATATTGATCTAGATTCTGCATTAACTATCCAGAACAGTATGTTTATTGAACAAATAATTAAAAAAAATTCTAGATGATTTTTTAACTGATTATTAGTCGAAAACATGCCAATCTTAATCATAAATTAAGAGCAGATTACCCTGAAAATCAAGAGTTAGGTTTGATCATCAGAATACTACAATTTTTTAAATAGAGTACTGTACAATAGTATCCAGTTGAGAATTTGATTAGGGATGTTACTTTATCTTTACTTTATAAAATAAAGATAAAGTGAATCTTTA